CACAAGAGACTCTTATTCAAACCAGAAAGGCTTAGCTTTGTGGTTCAAAACCTGGGTTTAGTAGCCCCCAAGAGGTCCCAAGATGTCAATTTGGACAACGAAATATTTATGTTGCTACAATAGACATCACAATTTTTAAAAGGTGCGATTCTAGAAAACAATATGCTGATAGATGAACCCAACTACCGTACAAATGAATGTCCCTTCTTGCTTCAATGGGACTTCAGATACCCTCATATTCATGGACATGCATTACTAGGGAAACTCTTAACAGGCAATATTGCATCTGTGCTGTCTTAAGTAAGTGAGCATCATTAGGTCAAATTATTCTTTATTGCTTACATGATATAGCTCCGTTCCTCATGTGGAAGACAGAATGATGGCATGAGCTGGAGTACAGTGCACAGACTCTACCTGTTGCTGTTAGGCTGAAATTATACTGTAAGGTTAGTTTGGGCAATTTGTTGGTTTTCCCATTTAAAGGGGCAGGGCTGTGTACAAAAACTGGGTTTTTAGTGTAAGTAAAATCAGCAGACCAAAAGGATTTTTGGGTAATACATAAACCAGGTGGAGTAGTACATTTATCAGCTGGAGCAGAAATAGAGTTTTTCTGAATGCACTGGACACCAATTTTGCAGCAAATTGACTTGGAAAAATACTTTGTAGACATGTTTCTAAAACAAGTTAATTACAGAATAATGGACTTTTCTCAGAGTTGTCAATCAATTCTAGAGCTGATCACCTCTGCTGAGCCTCTATGCTCATTACATGTCTGCGGACAGTGCTGAAGGTATTGTAAACAATGGTTTTGATGGCTTTCTGTTGGGAAAAAAAACTATCGATGAAACTGTTTCTAAATCCCCCCAATGCATTGTTTTCTGCATTTTATTTTCTGTAATTGACCTGTATGTGATCAGACAATATCAGCCAAATATATTGGTGACTCTACTCATAAATCTACCTTCAGTAATTAAAAACTGGAGGGGTGCCTCTGCCTGAAATGCATTATTTGGATTAAGCATCAGTCTGAACTTGCAGTTCTCACAGTTAACCTAGAGTGATCAATTGTTGCCTTTTTGACCCCATATGACCCCTTAGTCAAAAAAACACATATAAGAACAGAGAAGTGCTGTCCAAGCTAAGTTTCTAACCGGTTGAAGCCCTATTTAGGAATGACAGATTGATTCTTTTGATCTCCTCGTAAAAGTTATCCCTCTCTAGTGTCTCTTGTGCTCGAGCTCACTTTTTATCTCAGAGGAGCAACTTCCAGTGCTTCTTTGAACAGATGGTGGGTGAGCACTGACGCATCTAAAAAGGGAGAACCTTGATCTCGATCCAGCTGTTTCAATACTGCAGTGGCCCAGCTAAGCCTTAAACGCAGCTGATAGTAAACAAAGACAAATCTTGGACAGCTGGAGTTTGTACATATATCTATCACAATCCACAGTAAAGCCTTAGTTGCCTTCTCCAGCAGAATCTGCGGGTGTAACGCAGATGAGATGGCGAGTGTGTGTGAGTGTGTGTTTGTGTGTGGATGCATGAGGGGGAGGGTTGCAGGTAGCAGTTTGCACAGCTGTAGACTGTCCCTGCAGTGGCCATGTGTTTTATTAAGGCCTCTTCTGATGGAGACGCACCCCTCTCTGTGTCACTGAGGTCCCACCTCACTATGAGGCTATGGGGCTTTCCAGATCCAACCAAAGTTATCCAAGCAGGAAGCAAAACACTTATAACATGCTCCGTTTCAACTTTTCTTGGTTTTTCTGTTCTTGTTGCGCTTTTGGACCTGCTTTCGATCTTAGTTCTCCCTTTTTTTCTGTTTAAAAACACTGTCAGCGACAATTCAAGCTGTTACTTTTCACCAAACGACCCCCTCTCATTACTCATGTCATGACTTTGTGTGTTTTTAAGTCAATTTCTTAGCAAGGTGAGGGTTAAATTCTTATCTCCTCACTCTGCATGGCTAATAGCACACGTTATCATTACTAAATCATTTAAGCGTGATGCCAACATCCAAAGGCAGGCTGCAGGGTTTGCATTCTGTAGCCCTAGCTGCAAGCACAAACAAGCCTACGGTTGCAACATGCTGCAGCTTAATGCGCCATAGCAAGCTTCCACTAAGGCAAGCAGAAAAATGACAAAAACGAAGATCTTGCCATGACAATTCCTTTGCCTAATTCATGAGCTGTTCTTTCGAAAGCGGGCTATTTCTGCCAGCATATATCAGGAAAGTCCTGGGTCAAACAAGACTCATCCATAGTTGTCTTGATTCTCTACCAATTAGTTCCTTCTCCGCCTATTCTAGGAAAGAAGCATACCTTCAAGCAGGGTGTTGTAGAGCGCAGCCCAGCATGTTGTCCCGACGTAGGAATCTGAGAATTTCCAAGATTAAGAGAGGAGGCAGAATGAAAGACGCTGCTGGGATCAGCTCCAGGTGGGTGTTTTTTTGAGGGTTTGAACCCAAGCGAGCTGGAAGAAACTTCAGGTATGCTCAGCGCCTCCCTCTCTAACTCACTGTGCATTTCATTAATCACCACATCTGTTTGTTTCACCCTGCACACCCACGCTCAAATAACATTCACCGAGCTTTCCAATACGCCATTTTACATTTCTGACTATAGCAGAGGAAAACACGAGTATAAACACCATCTTGGTAGTGTGTCAAACAGGAAGGTTTGAAATATCTACAGCAATTAAAAGCCTGTTGAGTATTTGCACTGTTTGATTAAAAGACACAAGAACAAACAACCTCTTATTTCTTTGATAAATTAGTCCCAGCCGTGAAATACATCATTGCTTGGATTGGATACACAGCTGTTATTCTCCTCATTTATATCCAGGCAGAGATTAAACTCTCAAATACAAGCACAAACTCTAATGTGATGAAAGTCAAATCAATCTGCCTCCAGCACTCAGCAGTCAAATGTGATTTCTTCCCGAATCCGAACACATTCTCATTTGTCTCGGCGAGCAAAGACTATGTGTTTGTTTCACTGCGTTCTCATTAGCTTCTGCCACAGCTATCCCCATTCTTCCCAAGGTCCAAACTGTATAATTGGAGTGGAGTTCATACCGGAATATTACAGACCGGCCTCGTACTGAGACGAAAGAGAAAGCAAAGACAAAATCAAGATATGGGATAATACATCATGAGGGTGCTACATGAAAACCAAACTGAAAGTTGAAAATAATCCAGCCACTGTTTCTTCAAAGTAGGTCTTTGGTTTGAGCTAAAGTTTGGTAGCTGTTTCAGTAGAATAAAAGCTCTGTGTGGTTTTCAGATTTCAATCATATACTAAGAGCTTTTTTTAAGAGTGTGAGAAGTTACAATAGCTAAATCCAAAATGATTTTTGCACCACATCTGTGGATCCTTGAGGTAGCATCAGTCTGCCTTGCTCCGTCATTCTCTCTACAAAAGTGAGCCGTTTCATAGGAATTGAGCAGCATCTTTCTAACATGAATTATGTGAGCTGGCTGTTTCCAATGTTGATACGTAAGGGTTTTATGTACAGCAACAGCACACACATCAGCTCACTCGGACTTGAAAAAAAAAAATCTGAGGATGCTGGCAGGAAAAAACTTTGGCTAAATTCACACGTGCAGCTCATCCTGAAATGGTCATTTAGTTTCAGGAGATTTGAGCAAGTGTCAAAAACGACTTCCACAGAATGAATGACGGAGAACGTTCTGTTATATTAAGGTATGTGTTTTCTGAGTGGGGCTGATGCAGTCAACACAGACAAGATCTCCTGCTGCACAAGCTCTCGAAAAGAGGCGCCGGTCAGGATCAGTTGGTAGAGCAGGAGACCCACATACATATAAAGAGCTATAGTCCGCAATGGATGCAGGTTCAACTTCAGGCTCTCTCTTCTCTGCCCATATTCCTTTTCTTGTCAGCTGTCCTGTCCAATAACTGCAAATTGCCAAAAATTCTTTATATCAGCCACCATATTGCTATTGAAATCAGTCTAAGGAATACCATATCAGTCGGGCAGACTTATGTGACAAAAGTTAAGCAAATTATTTTCTCTATGACACTTTGACAGAATTTCATTTTTCGCAACGGTGCCCTAATTAAAGTGTTTCATTCGTAAAGGATGTCAAAGTCTGCTCTCTTGTTCATGGTCAGTGTAGCACAGTCTCTATGGTGTCTTAGTTCATTAAACATCTGTTGATCTCTCCTTCCCTCTACCCGGCACCCTGCCATAGACAATCTGCTGCATGGATGCTGATCTGTTCCTGTTCTGACCTCTGACCTCCCAGGGACCAGACCTCTCCTTTGGGAATGAATATATTGTGTCCAATAATGATGACATTACAAACCCCCACTTAATTTAAATGTATGCAGCCAACATTTATGCGAGCAATAGCATATTAAAGAAGAGTCAAAATCTGAAGAAAACTATGAAAAAGGGGAATAGTCCCCTGACAAGTCTGAGCATATTTCTCCATGATACCAGCATAGCCTGTTTTCTCCTAAACGATAAACTGGCTGAACTGCAGCCCACACAGTCGAGCTATCTGAAAAGTGATCTTCAATGTTTTTGAATCCAAACGACAAACAAAAACAGATAAAGGAGGGAAAATAAAAAACAAAAGGTTGAGATGAGGACAGAAACTCCAAGCGCTTGTTCCATTAACCCATATTGACGCACCGGCTGAATGTGTCGCTGCAGGTTGTCAAACGGAGAGCTTCCAGATTATTCAAAACACACGGTTAAAAAAACAAAACAAAAAAAAAACATTAGTTAAAACGATGGTTTGTGTGACTTGCCATGTCCAAGCTGTACCTGCACCTGATATACTCGGTTCAGCCCCCACCCCTCCAAACGCACACACACACAAAAAAAAGAATCTACGGTACGTTGCTGTGCGTAACGGACAGGTAACGCTGTAGTATGTGACTGAAAAATGACAGAACATTTGACGTTTTCCACGCGCCACAACACGAGTCAGGACGCAGAAGACAAGACGATGACATAAAGCAAATCATATGACTCACCTGGATGTCTTCGACATTAAGTCCAGAGCGCGGAGTGTGCTGGAAAAGGCGAGGCGATGCTTCGGTGTTGCCGCCTGTCACCGGGAAAGGAGGAGTTTGTGTTTACTCCAACATAACAGAGCTGGCTGTCAGCGAGCACACGGATCCGGTCCCTGTTCGGCGAAGAGAGGGAGACACGCTGCGGCCACAAGCGGTGTTACAAGAAACCAGAGGACCTGAACCTCACAGAGTCTAACGGAGTCTCACGGGAACACAATGAAGGCAGAGGATGGGCGTTTACAACATTTCCATAACACAAGTGGAAGGCTAATCTTTTCAGCAAAGTGGTTCCCTTTTGATTTCATACTTTTTTTTTAAATACTTTTTTGACAACATTTTTGTGGACTTTTTTTTATTTGTTACAATATTTTTTTTATGTAATTAGAATTTTATATTTCATGTTTCATGTTTTTTCCTAAAAAATCTTTTACGTTTTTGATCATTAACTATTCAATTCAATTTTATTTGTAAAGCACATTTCATACAAACGTAAACTCATTGTGCTGTACAGAAAAAGAAAAATAAACAATCACAATACATACTAATTTAAAATAATAAACAAAAACGAAACAAAAAACATGAAAAAACAAAACAAAATAATAATAATAATAATAATAAATGAACAAGTGGATTCAAGAGCTCACTTTAAACCTGAACATGTTTGTAGATGGAGCATGCACCATCCCATACAGCACATAATTGTGTACTTTTTATCTACTTCCACAGTGTAATGTAATAATGTAAAGTATGAGAGATAGACATATAAGCCTGTTGTTGAAATTTTACATTATTTCTAACGTAATTACACTGACAGATAACAGTATTGTTTGAAACATTTAGCAAAAGGATTAAACAGATTCTCTTGAAAGCTTCTTAACAACAATTATAAACCAGGAAGTCTTGAAGCGTAAAGCCATAAAGAAAAAGATTGCACTCTTCCTGTCTGGTCTTAAAGTAGTTTCATTTTGTGTCATGGTTCAATGTCGTGTTATATCTCAGTACGTAATGTCACAAACACAAAGAGACAATCATTTAGGTAAAAATGCAGCTCCTGGTTCAAACTTTGAACCAAACATGTTGCCATTTTTTTCAGTGAAATGATAACAACTCTTACCATGACGCTAGCGCTTTATTGATGACGCATGACCGCGCCTCACTCTTCCAGTAACTTTTTATAGAGAGACTGGTAAATAATTAATCAGTATGATATTTTATGACCACACAATGTCAAAATCAAGGGCTTTGAATCCAAGCATGTAAATGTTATTACTTAAAAAGTTGTCAGGTGTTTAGACATTGAAAAACAGGAGCTTAAATCATAGAAGAAACCCCCAGTCCCTAAGCAGCTTGTTCTGCTGAGTGAATTTTCTTGCCATGCAGAAAACATTAAGCGACTCTAACCACACATAATAAAAACATACATGATTATTTTCTGCAGTCTGATATGAGATATGTCATTATCTCATTGAATGTGGTGGAGACACCTGTGTCCCTGCCATGACAACCAGCCTTGTCTTTTCCTTCCCAACCAAAGGTCACAGCCATAACCGAGAGATTTACGACCAGCAGTCCACATTGCACTCCACCCAGGCAGGTAACTCAGACACCACTCTTTAGAGGATCACAGGGTCTGAACCTGCTTCAGACGAGAAGAGACACTGGGATTCAGATCTAACTAGCACAACTGGAATACTGTGATAATGCCTTCCACAAAGAAGATTCTGCATTTCATGTCCAGTGCGTTGGTCACCGCCATATCGGTTGGGTTGCTGGGGTTTTCCATGTCAACACAATGGTCTACAACAACTTTGGAGTGCTCAAGGCCTGGAAGTGGCGTCTTTAACGGAAGTGCTGTGGTCAAACTGGATCTTTTTAGCGGGAATGTAGAAAGAACCTCCTGCCCCTCCTTTGGAGGAGTCGATGCTTTTGACGGTAATTTTTGTAACCTTTTGGAGGTCTTTTTCCACCAACATTAAGATATTATGCCATGCTGAGATTTCTGCCTCCGCTCGACAGAGCTGAAAGATTTTATCTAAACTACTCAGCAGTAAATTGTACTTACAGTGTACTTGTTATTCTGGAAAACCCAAAGAAAACACTTTCATTTGTTTTTACAGGCACTATTTGTTATGGTAAAGTAGTTCCAAAGACAGTCCCTGAGTAAATACGTAAAAATTACCTATGTTTCCCAATAAAGTCCAGTAATGTTATATAAATCGTACATTTTCTAACCAACCTTCTTTTACTGTGTGCACATGTGTGTGTGTGTGTTTCTGTGTGTGTCTGTGTAGTGTTTCCTAAGTTGGTAGAAGCAGGAGGTGCCCCTGTTATCCTGTATGGTTTGGTTTTGGGCCTGTTGGCCCTGTGTCTGCTGTTTTCGGCCTGCAGCATCCTCATCTCCCTCTACAACAGTGTCAGCAACCCTTATGAGACCTACATGGGGCCTGTAGGAATGTATGCCTGCAGCTCACTCAGCGGTAAGTCATACAAATGTCTATTGGAAAGTGTTTAACATTGTACTAAATTGTATCCTGGTATGTACCAATAAGTGTATCTTTACTGGTCTGCCTTATTAGTCATCATATTCACAAGATGGACAATCCTTCTGAAGTAATACTCGGGGTGGGAAGCTCAAACACTGTTATTATCAAGTTGGAGGGGGAGGATGTGTTTCACTAACGAGGACGTTTAGTAGAGTTCTGAGCCTACGCTGCAAAATGTTTTTAAAAAAAAAACATATCAAAGGCAACACATCTCAAGTTCCAAGTAAAGGAGGACAAAACACCAACATTTCACTAAATGATGAGCCAAATAAACTTAGTGAAATGTAAGTATTGTGTCCTCCTTTCATTGGAGCTTGAGATGTGCTGCCTTTATATATATTCAACTGTTTTTATTAAGTTGTGCTATTTCAGACATAGTCCAACATCATCATCATCACTCCACCCATTCTGACTGATCAAGGCATTTAAAAAAAAAAATCAATATAAAATCTGGACATACATTTCAAGTTAAGCATATAACATATTTGGGGACGTGTTATCTTAGATGGACAAAAGCAAAAGTTAGCAGTGAGTAATTTTCTAGCTAACGTTACCATTTGACAGCATTTGTGTCACATAAGGAAATGGGTAAATCCCTTGCTCACTGTAATGTTAGTCATTAGACTGTATTGTTAGCATAAGGCTGACTGTAGCGGCACACTACCTTGCAAGCTAGGCTATGCTAGGATGTGAGCTTGCCGAAAAGCAAGATAATAGGAGAGGAAACTAGCTAGCTTTACCTTTAGCAAGAGATGTGGCCTTTCCTCTCATATCATGTCACACCATCAAATGGCAATTTTACAATCAAGTGGTTAAATGTTAACAGGTAATGCTGGCTGTTGTCTAACGTTAGTTAATGAGATCTTTTTAGCTTAAAGTTAAGCTCAGTGTTCCTCCTAATTTCAGATCTTTTCTTTTAGTCTAAGAAGTTTCAAATGCTAACTGTTTGTGAGGTTCTTAGTGCTTATAACACGGCAGTAAAACATTTTTTTAAAAGCATTTAAGATTCACACTCTGAGAATGCAATAAGTGAAAACACCAATTTTTACTCATGTGAATGTCTTCTCCTAGATTCCTTGATACTGTAATGAAACTGTTGTCTGTTTTTTGTCAACTGTTGTCTAGGTTTATTTTGTTTTCTGAATGACACTTGTCATGTTTTCTTGGGTTAAATGAAATTATAACAAAAAGTGACTAAAAAGTGTTCAACAATGAAGTAACTGGGAGTTATAGACGTAGGGTAAACAGCTCAATCAGAACATTTTTGCACTGCGCTATGATGAAGAAAGATAAACACTTGACTGGAAATAGCGCACTAATAGTTCTCCTCTTTCTCCTGCAGCATGTGTCGCTGTAGTCGCCCTCATCCTGTATGTGCTGAACCTCTTTACGACTGCCATGGCAGAGGATTTAGTGCGGTCCTTTGCCGAAAATATTCCAGCAGAGATAAAGAACAAGAGCACACAGATGGATTTAGGATTCTACCTGCTCATCCCTTACATTGTGCTCTCCCTTGTCGCCATTGCTTTGATCTACCTGTACGACCATGCAGCCTACACGCACAGGAGGGAGCAGCAGAGGCCGACAGAGGACGCACCGAAGGAGATCATGATGTATTAGTGGGATGCATAGAAGTCAGATGTCAGTGACATTGAAAAAGCCCTCATAAACACTTTCTGGAGTATTTTACTGTTATAGAGAATTACTGATGGAAATCAGGTGTGTGTACAGTAAAATATGGATGTACAGCTATTTTAATGGACTAAAATAATATACCTAGACTAACAGAAACAATTGTTGTCTGATTCAACATGAAGTTATGACTCAATAAATGATTTGCTGGAAAAAAACAAGTTTATTATAAATCAGTTTAAGTGTAAATCTTGTCCGTATTAAGCTGACAACCTTTTTATTTATATTGTGTGGAGATGTTTTAATGGCCTCTTGTTTGAAAGGCACTTTTTTCTTTTCTTTTTTTTCACATTTCAAATATGTCTTTTTAATCCTTCAAATAAATATTTTTAATTAATAGCTATACTTCAACCAAATGTAAATAAACGTAAAATATGTTGGATGTAAAAGAGAAAAATCACGAATGTATTTTCTGTATTTTCATATTTACTAAGTGAAGCTGTACAGGCAAAGAAACCAGCACAGACTTTCAGACTAAATGTATAAATTGTGTGTGTGAAAAACTCTGAAGGTTGAATTTAAACCAAAGGTAAAGGAAGTGAAGTGAAGTGAAGTGAAGTGAAGTAGGAGAGGGCACACTGGGATTAATTGATCTTTGCTGCCCTCTATCTCTGAGAAGACCTACTGAAAATACACATCTCAAGTTCATGGAAGAACCCAACCTTACAAGGAAAGTAGAAGAGGAAATTAAAACCTGTTTTTTTGTATCCATTTCTCAAGCTAGCTTCTTTCTTCTTTTCAAGATTAAAAGTTTTTGGGCTTTGGCCTTTATTTGGATAGGAGAGATGAAGACAATTCCAGAAAGGGAAGGGGGAGTGGGGGATGACAT